CGGGTTGAAAACGGTGCGAGGTTAGTGCTTCAAAGCCCCATCCCGCCGGCGGTGCTAGCTAACAACCATCAGCTTTTGTTCATCGTCCGCGCTGAGAGACAGAGTGCAATCGCTCGTGCAACCATCGTAATCCTGCTCACGGACGGTAATTGGATCACGACTCTACACTAGATTACTTTCTGGGCTATAATAATGGTACCCATAGCTTAATAACCTCCAGACCTTAACAATGAAACTCTCTTTGTTTTTGCAGATGTGAGTGCAGGCCAAGTACTTGGCTTTGAGCGAAATTATTACGTGGGTTCGTTAAACGGCACTACTGTCCATCTTTCTCAGATAGTGCTCAACGAGGGATTCTCGTCGGACGTTCGATTCTCATTAGTAGGCGGTGAGTGATTTACCCAAACGTCGACTGTTTACTACGATGTGATGTGACAAATAGAAGCTAAAATTTTATTTGTGCTTTCCAGAGCTCGCACCCTTCTTCATACTGCAAGACAACCTCGCTACCCTCACAATATCCCTGGCGAATGCCATCCCTGAAGATTCGATACCTGCCAACGGCATTATAATAATTCAGGTAGAAGCGACAGCACCGCAAGTCCTACCAGCGTACACCTCAATTATCTTGGAAGTGACGATGCGTAAAGAAGACCCACCGACAGCTATCGAATTTGAAGAAACGCACTATATCGGAAACTTCACTACGACCGAAGGCCTTATATTCGACAGAATCATAACTCTAGCAGAGGGCTACGATGAAAGCGTTGAATTCGATCTTGAAGGAGGTTTGCTAGCTACAATATTTTAATCTCTCTCAATTCTAAATAAATTATACGGCAGCATCTTTCAGCAACGGTGTGTCTTTTCTAACTTTCAGAAAACGCTCAGTGGTTTGCACTCGACCGGGTTGAAAACGGTGCGAGGTTAGTGCTTCAAAGCCCCATCCCGCCGGCGGTGCTAGCTAACAACCATCAGCTTTTGTTCATCGTCCGCGCTGAGAGACAGAGTGCAGTCGCTCGTGCAACCATCGTAATCCTGCTCACGGACGGTAATTGGATCACGACTCTACACTAGATTGCTTTCTGGGCTATAATAATGGTACCCATAGCTTAATAACCTCCAGACCTTAACAATGAAACTTTCTTTGTTTTTGCAGATGTGAGTGCAGGCCAAGTACTTGGCTTTGAGCGAAATTATTACGTGGGTTCGTTAAACGGCACTACTGTCCATCTTTCTCAGATAGTGCTCAACGAAGGATTCTCGTCGGACGTTCGATTCTCATTAGTAGGCGGTGAGTGATTTACCCAAACGTCGACTGTTTACTACGATGTGATGTGACAAATAGAAGCTAAAATTTTATTTGTGCTTTCCAGAGCTCGCACCCTTCTTCATACTGCAAGACAACCTCGCTACCCTCACAATATCCCTGGCGAATGCCATCCCTGAAGATTCGATACCTGCCAACAGCATTATAATAATTCAGGTAGAAGCGACAGCACCGCAAGTCCTACCAGCGTACACCTCAATTATCTTGGAAGTGACGATGCGTAAAGAAGACCCACCGACAGCTATCGAATTTGAAGAAACGCACTATGTTGGAAACTTCACTACGACCGAAGGCCTTATATTCGACAGAATCATAACTCTAGCAGAGGGCTACGATGAAAGCGTTGAATTCGATCTTGAAGGAGGTTTGCTAGCTACAATATTTTAATCTCTCTCAATTCTAAATAAATTATACGGCAGCATCTTTCAGCAACGGTGTGTCTTTTCTAACTTTCAGAAAACGCTCAGTGGTTTGCACTCGACCGAGTTGAAAACGGTGCGAGGTTAGTGCTTCAAAGCCCCATCCCGCCGGCGGTGCTAGCTAACAACCATCAGCTTTTGTTCATCGTCCGCGCTGAGAGACAGAGTGCAATCGCTCGTGCAACCATCGTAATCCTGCTCACGGACGGTAATTGGATCACGACTCTACACTAGATTACTTTCTGGGCTATAATAATGGTACCCATAGCTTAATAACCTCCAGACCTTAACAATGAAACTCTCTTTGTTTTTGCAGATGTGAGTGCAGGCCAAGTACTTGGCTTTGAGCGAAATTATTACGTGGGTTCGTTAAACGGCACTACTGTCCATCTTTCTCAGATAGTGCTCAACGAGGGATTCTCGTCGGACGTTCGATTCTCATTAGTAGGCGGTGAGTGATTTACCCAAACGTCGACTGTTTACTACGATGTGATGTGACAAATAGAAGCTAAAATTTTATTTGTGCTTTCCAGAGCTCGCACCCTTCTTCATACTGCAAGACAACCTCGCTACCCTCACAATATCCCTGGCGAATGCCATCCCTGAAGATTCGATACCTGCCAACGGCATTATAATAATTCAGGTAGAAGCGACAGCACCGCAAGTCCTACCAGCGTACACCTCAATTATCTTGGAAGTGACGATGCGTAAAGAAGACCCACCGACAGCTATCGAATTTGAAGAAACGCACTATGTCGGAAACTTCACTACGACCGAAGGCCTTATATTCGACAGAATCATAACTCTAGCAGAGGGCTACGATGAAAGCGTTGAATTCGATCTTGAAGGAGGTTTGCTAGCTACAATATTTTAATCTCTCTCAATTCTAAATAAATTATACGGCAGCATCTTTCAGCAACGGTGTGTCTTTTCTAACTTTCAGAAAACGCTCAGTGGTTTGCACTCGACCGGGTTGAAAACGGTGCGAGGTTAGTGCTTCAAAGCCCCATCCCGCCGGCGGTGCTAGCTAACAACCATCAGCTTTTGTTCATCGTCCGCGCTGAGAGACAGAGTGCAATCGCTCGTGCAACCATCGTAATCCTGCTCACGGACGGTAATTGGATCACGACTCTACACTAGATTAATTTCTGGGCTATAATAATGGTACCCATAGCTTAATAACCTCCAGACCTTAACAATGAAACTCTCTTTGTTTTTGCAGATGTGAGTGCAGGCCAAGTACTTGGCTTTGAGCGAAATTATTACGTGGGTTCGTTAAACGGCACTACTGTCCATCTTTCTCAGATAGTGCTCAACGAGGGATTCTCGTCGGACGTTCGATTCTCATTAGTAGGCGGTGAGTGATTTACCCAAACGTCGACTGTTTACTACGATGTGATGTGACAAATAGAAGCTAAAATTTTATTTGTGCTTTCCAGAGCTCGCACCCTTCTTCATACTGCAAGACAACCTCGCTACCCTCACAATATCCCTGGCGAATGCCATCCCTGAAGATTCGATACCTGCCAACGGCATTATAATAATTCAGGTAGAAGCGACAGCACCGCAAGTCCTACCAGCGTACACCTCAATTATCTTGGAAGTGACGATGCGTAAAGAAGACCCACCGACAGCTATCGAATTTGAAGAAACGCACTATGTCGGAAACTTCACTACGACCGAAGGCCTTATATTCGACAGAATCATAACTCTAGCAGAGGGCTACGATGAAAGCGTTGAATTCGATCTTGAAGGAGGTTTGCTAGCTACAATATTTTAATCTCTCTCAATTCTAAATAAATTATACGGCAGCATCTTTCAGCAACGGTGTGTCTTTTCTAACTTTCAGAAAACGCTCAGTGGTTTGCACTCGACCGGGTTGAAAACGGTGCGAGGTTAGTGCTTCAAAGCCCCATCCCGCCGGCGGTGCTAGCTAACAACCATCAGCTTTTGTTCATCGTCCGCGCTGAGAGACAGAGTGCAATCGCTCGTGCAACCATCGTAATCCTGCTCACGGACGGTAATTGGATCACGACTCTACACTAGATTACTTTCTGGGCTATAATAATGGTACCCATAGCTTAATAACCTCCAGACCTTAACAATGAAACTCTCTTTGTTTTTGCAGATGTGAGTGCAGGCCAAGTACTTGGCTTTGAGCGAAATTATTACGTGGGTTCGTTAAACGGCACTACTGTCCATCTTTCTCAGATAGTGCTCAACGAGGGATTCTCGTCGGACGTTCGATTCTCATTAGTAGGCGGTGAGTGATTTACCCAAACGTCGACTGTTTACTACGATGTGATGTGACAAATAGAAGCCAAAATTTTATTTGTGCTTTCCAGAGCTCGCACCCTTCTTCATACTGCAAGACAACCTCGCTACCCTCACAATATCCCTGGCGAATGCCATCCCTGAAGATTCGATACCTGCCAACGGCATTATAATAATTCAGGTAGAAGCGACAGCACCGCAAGTCCTACCAGCGTACACCTCAATTATCTTGGAAGTGACGATGCGTAAAGAAGACCCACCGACAGCTATCGAATTTGAAGAAACGCACTATGTCGGAAACTTCACTACGACCGAAGGCCTTATATTCGACAGAATCATAACTCTAGCAGAGGGCTACGATGAAAGCGTTGAATTCGATCTCGAAGGAGGTTTGCTAGCTACAATATTTTAATCTCTCTCAATTCTAAATAAATTATACGGCAGCATCTTTCAGCAACGGTGTATCTTTTCTAACTTTCAGAAAACGCTCAGTGGTTTGCACTCGACCGGGTTGAAAACGGTGCGAGGTTAGTGCTTCAAAGCCCCATCCCGCCGGCGGTGCTAGCTAACAACCATCAGCTTTTGTTCATCGTCCGCGCTGAGAGACAGAGTGCAATCGTTCGTGCAACCATCGTAATCCTGCTCACGGACGGTAATTGGATCACGACTCTACACTAGATTGCTTTCTGGGCTATAATAATGGTATCCATAGCTTAATAACCTCCAGACCTTAACAATGAAACTCTCTTTGTTTTTGCAGATGTGAGTGCAGGCCAAGTACTTGGCTTTGAGCGAAATTATTACGTGGGTTCGTTAAACGGCACTACTGTCCATCTTTCTCAGATAGTGCTCAACGAGGGATTCTCGTCGGACGTTCGATTCTCATTAGTAGGCGGTGAGTGATTTACCCAAACGTCGACTGTTTACTACGATGTGATGTGACAAATAGAAGCTAAAATTTTATTTGTGCTTTCCAGAGCTCGCACCCTTCTTCATACTGCAAGACAACCTCGCTACCCTTACAATATCCCTGGCGAATGCCATCCCTGAAGATTCGATACCTGCCAACGGCATTATAATAATTCAGGTAGAAGCGACAGCACCGCAAGTCCTACCAGCGTACACCTCAATTATCTTGGAAGTGACGATGCGTAAAGAAGACCTACCGACAGCTATCGAATTTGAAGAAACGCACTATGTCGGAAACTTCTCTACGACCGAAGGCCTTATATTCGACAGAATCATAACTCTAGCAGAGGGCTACGATGAAAGCGTTGAATTCGATCTCGAAGGAGGTTTGCTAGCTACAATATTTTAATCTCTCTCAATTCTAAATAAATTATACGGCAGCATCTTTCAGCAACGGTGTGTCTTTTCTAACTTTCAGAAAACGCTCAGTGGTTTGCACTCGACCGGGTTGAAAACGGTGCGAGGTTAGTGCTTCAAAGCCCCATCCCGCCGGCGGTGCTAGCTAACAACCATCAGCTTTTGTTCATCGTCCGCGCTGAGAGACAGAGTGCAATCGCTCGTGCAACCATGGTTATCTTACTCACGGACGGTAATTTAATCACTTCATAGCCATGCCATGTAATACATACAATTAAAAATGTTTATGTCATTTGGTTGTGTTATAAAACTATGATAATTATTTCATGAACAAGGATCACACAAAAACTTATTAGACGCTACATTCAAAGTTTCTTGAACAAATCTTTGCTTATATAATTACTGGTAGAAAATACTTAGACTATTTACCACATTTGCGATTATTTAATATGTTGTTTATAATAAACCTGAGGTTAGTTAAGCGCGTTCTTGGGGCTAAAAACTCTTTAATTGGCATAGACTTAAACAAGTATAGGCAGGCCAAAAGAACATTGTTTAAAAATTATGCTTGAATGATTTGAAGTTTCCATAACCTAAGTGAGACATCGTAATAACCACATCCGTTCATAATAGACATTAATCGATTTATTTATTTTACAGTAGTGTTGTAATTTTTTGGAATGAAGTTCCTTTTCGGACGCCGTTTTTAGCGGATTGGGACTAGGCTATCAACCAAGACTATAATTCGTTAAGTATAGCACAAATTACAGGACTGACTATAAAGATAGTGATAAATACACAGAGCTAGAAGCGCTAGCAGTATAGTACAGCTTTCATATAGGGGAGTCGGGGAAAGCTCATCGAAGACCACGTGTTTAAATCAAATAAAATATGGCGCAAATATTGTGAATAAATTGAACGTATGGGACTTATAACAACTAAAAGGGCAATGCAATCAAAGGTAGTCTTAAATTAAATGTGAATCCTTATGCGACTATAAGTGGCAAAGAAGATACGAATCTAACTACTCTGCAGTTATTGGCCATAAGGTGTCCGAAATAATCTTAGGATTCTGCTGCAGCCATGAGGTATATTTTAGCTGTTATCGCACTCGTGCCTAATTCTGACTCTATTATGCAACCAAGATAAGCTGCATTTTGCACTAGTGTGTTAGTTATGATAGGTAGAAAAAAAACCGGCCAAGTGCGTGTCCTGCCACGCGCAGTGTAGGGTTCCGTAGTTGCCTCTCTGTCTTTATTTTCTATACGGAAATTAGAAAAACCAATAAGTATCAATACCAAATCAAAATGAAACTACTCTTAAACTCAAAATCAATTCATTTTTTTTTGTTTCCTCCCAGGATGGGAAGCAGGTGTGAAATCCTCATGGATACCCTACTGTTAGCTGCAAGGTTATCTCAGAATCTTACTGACTAATACACACCCGTAGTTCATGCTTATGGCTAGAAGGGCCTTCCAAGCTTTATCTAAAGCGATCATCCCCTGAGAAGGGGATGACGCGGTATAACCGCCGAATTATAAAAACGTTACGTTAGGGAAGCTCAGAAGCCAATAGCGTTGCGGAACTTATGATATTTTATTGGGGTTTTTAAATATTTTTTTAGATTTTGTTGCAATGCAAGGTTTTTTGCTACAGTAACTTCATCTGTGTTGTTATGTTATGTATTAATATTTTCTTCTAAGGAATTTTCAATAGGTAAGATATTATCTTTTCTTTGAGACCAAAGTTGAAAAACTATTATCTTCACCGTTATAATTTTACTCAAAATTTCATGAAAAACAGTATTATCATGAATGTTCCCAGATTTTTTAATTCAATTCAATTCTTTATTGTCTCCATGGTTTAAAATGTCTTAAAATATAAATACATTAGGTACAAACATGGAACCCCGTTGGGGCGCTACAATATAATACAACAATTTACTTTAAAATAAATAAAAATCAAATAATCTCCACTTACCAGCCAGTAAATTAGAAATGTTTAGCAGTAGTACATTTGTCATGTGCATTAAATATATATACTATACTGCTAGCGCTTCTAGCTCTGTATATTTATCACTATCTTTATAGTTTTTATTTTAGAAGTCATCACTTTTTTAATATTTTTTCATAAATTTTATAGTGATATTGAAGTATGGGGTTAGCAGTTTGTGATAAAAGTAATTTTAAATGACGCTTTTTTGACTCCACCCCACCTGATGTTAAGTGAAGGTGAAATCCAGACGTGAAGATAGCTGATACAGCAGTTTTCCCTGCCACACCAGCCATCCTCACCCTGCCGGCCTGCATGTTGCTTCTTCACGCCTCTTTTAAAGGATCCCAGGTTGTAAGAGGGAGGGAACACGTGAGCGGGCAGAGCATTCCATTTACGGATAGTGCGACAAAGAAATGAGTCACCAAATTTCTTTGTACGCGTTGGAATTGTGGCCACAGTTAGACGCATGCACTGTACTATCGTCTGCATAGCAATGAATATTCCCAAGAGGAATTAAGTCATTGATATGCAGCAGAAAGAGAGTGGGGGATAAGACGGAGCCCTGGGGAACGCCGGCATTCACTGACATGAACCGCGAACTGCTACCATCCGTAAGGACACGAATTCTACGCTCATGCAGGAAGTCAGCTACCCAAGAACAGAACTGAGCTGGCAGACCGTATGCCGGAAGCTTGGAGAGAATGCTTTTGTGCTATACCCTGTCGAACGCCTTGGCAATGTCAAGGCTGATAGCCAACGACTCACCACGCTTGTCGATAGCCTCACCCCAGATATGAGTTAAGTACGCTAGAAGATCACCCGTCGATCGTTTCGGTCTAAAACCATATTGACGATCATTAATCAGGGAGTGATCCTCTAGGTAGCGGGTCAGATGGTTATTAAGGACCTTTTCTAGAACTTTACATAAAACTGAGGTGACTGCTATTGGCCGGTAGTTTGCCGGGTCTGAGCGATCCCCTTTTTTGGGCACCGGTTGCACATTAGCATCTCTCCAAGTCTCCGGCACACGCCCCAAAGAATACGAGCATTTGTACAAGCGCGTGAGCACGGGAGACAACTCCGCTGCACATTTTTAAGTACTACTGCTGGGATGCCATCAGGTCCACTAGCTTTCCGGACGTCGAGTGATTGCAATTCGGCACGAACCTCGCGCTGCCTGATTTTAATATCAGGCATCGTTGTGCCACAGTGAGGTAATGATGGTGGCAGTGCATTGCAATCATCGATTCGGGAGTTAGCCGCAAAGTGTTTTGCCAGTAAATCGGCTTTCTCCTGCGGCTTATGGGCTAGTGTTCCATCTGGGCATCTCAGAGGTGGCAGCAAGTGCTCGCAGAAGTTTTTTTGCACGGCCTTGGCCAGACGCCAGTAGCTACGGGAGCCCGTAGGATGCGTCATAAGTTCCTGGCCAACACGCGCAACGCGCTGGGCATCCGCTCTGATGCAAGCCTTCTTACAGGCCTTGGAAGCAAAATTGTAGGCTGCTTTGAGTGAATCGACCTCGGGATCCTTGCGAGGGCGGCCTCTGATCCAAGCACGATATGCCGCTTGCTTACGCGAAGCAGCTTCAGCACAGTCGTGATTGAACCAGAGGTTACGTGTGCCCTTACTGATGAGATCAGAATGAGGAATATAGTATTCCATACCCATTATAATCTCCTCAGTAATGGCAACGGCACTGGCCGATAGGTCCCTGTCACTGAAGCAGCGCTGCTCCCAAGGGACGGACGCAAAGTAGTCACGCATACCGTCCTAATCTGCCGACCCATAATGCCGCTTGACCACGGCGCTTGACCACTGCTGGACGCGGAGGCTTGGCCTGTGGTGCTTTGGCAGATATAAGGCAGTGGTCTGACGAGCCCAGAGGGGCTCTTACCACAACCTGATAGCCCCGTGGATGGGTCGTGAGCAGAAGGTCCAGTAAAGAAGGCGCTTGACTTGGAAAATCTGGGATCCTGCAAGCCAATTTTGCTCGCTAATTGTGGTATTGTTTTGAAGTCAATTTCACATTACGTATATTATGCTCTCCGAAAAATGCAATATCAAAATGACATCAACTAGACATCAACTTATGCGTATTATGATCAACTCTTTAAAATGATATCAACTTAAATGCGTATTACGTTCAACTTTTTGACTTCAAACAGTATCGCTTATACGACAAAAATGTGATACAGGCTATGATATTGATATGATCTTGATGTGACATAGGAATGTTTCATAATACCATTTAAAAACATTGTCAACTTGGCATCAACATCATATTGCCATCACATTAGGATTATATCACTAAAGCATAATTGACCTGCTGGTGGGCTGATCAACCAGTTACTTCAAGTCATGCGTGAGAGCGAATGCGTGAGCAGAGATCCCTGCATGGTCAGTTTTGGAAGAACTTAACCACAAATCGTGGTGAGCATTAAAGTCCCTCAAAAAACAGTAATTCTGCATTGGGAAATTGTTCCTGCGCGTCATCTGCTGCTCGGCTAAGGTGCTCAAAAAGTCGAATTGTCTCAACATCGCCGGTGTGGGATCTGTAGAGGCACAGGTAAACTCTAGCCAGGGGGCCAGAGTCGACGTGTACCCCCAGCATGGAGAAGGAGGGATCTTCCAAGCAGCGGAGACGGCGACAGCAAACATCCGCCCGAACATACAGGCATACACCGGCTTTCGCTTTGAAGGACTCTTCAAGCACGTAGACGGGATAATTAAGGTAGCCTGTGTCAGCAGGCGGAAGTATTTGTGTCTCCGTCAGGAACAACAATGCTGGCCGTGCTGTCTCGAGATGGTGGTGGACAGCGTTGAGGTTAGAGTGGAGTCCGCGTATGTTGCAGAACTCGACCTCAAACAGCGTTGAAGGCGTGGGGGTGTGCACCGCTGTACGTCCAAACTTTGTTTTAGGAGCTGCCATTATGGAAGTCAAAAAGGGACGTGAAACGAGTGGACGTTGTCGCGACAAGACCAGGCAAATTAGGGAGGCATGTTTCCCCGAATGATTGCCTGCAGAGGATATACGCCGACCCGCCGGACAGAAGGGCCCCCGAACCCCCCCGGGAGTGGCCGCCGGGACCCCACGCCCCGGTCACCAACCGGCACGACGGTCCACCCCGAGATTATGCGTGACATGATGGGGCAGCCTGGCGAACTGGTTAGGAACGCTCGGGCCCCTGTACTGTGCCACGAGCGGCCAGCGGGACAGCCGTTTCTACGGGTCTCCTTGGCCGGCAGGTCGATGCAGTCTTCCCGGCATCGGTTCCACGGATGCCTAGCCCTGGACCGAATCCGTCGCGACAACCTCCACTCGAACCCTGGTTGTACGCTGGTTGACCCCGAAACGCGCGAGAAGCACTTCACGGGTTTTTCACCATGCGCACGGTGGTAACAAACCAGGCGGGTGTTAGGTACCCTACCACCAGCAGAGCGGATGGAAGCTCCGATATCCCTTAGTCGCCTGTTACGACACCCACGGGAAGAGAAGGGGCGGTGTGTTGCATTCTTTCTCCGTCACCGCACGGACAGAATGTCCGCTTATGTCTACACGAACGTTTTATTCGACTGGTAAGCCAGCCTTTAAAGGATCTTCCTTTAATTTTTATTTGTTTCCTAGGTATAACTCTAATACACTTCTTAACGTTGTATGAAAAGAATTGTAATTTTGATTCACGTTATGGCTCTCTTTTATTATCTCATCCCACTTAATATTTTTTAGTTCCGATTTAAAATTATATATATTTTGCTAAAGATCATTTTATAGGTCCACCATGTATTAAAAGATTTTGTTGAGGTCTCATTTAGTGATATAAGTACAGATTTATGATCAGAAAATCCATTTTCTTGGACAGACACGATCACTTGTTTATGTCGGAAATTAGTGAAACCCGATGACGAGACAAGTAGAACTATTTTTAGTAACACTTGTTGGTTCCTTGTTTATTTGATCAAAATTGTATGAAAGCATTAGTTCCAGAAGAGTTTTTGATTTAGTTCCTTTTGTTAAAACATCCAAATTAAAGTCTCCTACAATAATAATGTCGTTAGTATTATATTTAGTCTTTAGCAAATCCATTAGCGTTTCCAAGCGATTGAAAAATATATTAGGCTCTCTATTGGCCAATATATAACAACTAGAAGTAAATTTTGTCAAGCTTGTGATTATAACAGCGCATATTTCAAATACATATTCTATAGACATACTTCTAATATCCCTCTGTTCGCTAAATTCAATGGCGCCTCTTAACATTATACACACACTTCCCCCTTTATAATTTTTACGACAAAAGTATGAGGCTAATTTAAAAACCATTTATTTGCAAAATGTCCAAATTTTCAGCTCTTGACCAAGTTTCTGTTATACACAAAGCACCAATATGTGGTTTATTATCTAAGTATGCGTCCATCAAATGTTGTTTATGCCTTAAGCTCTGTATATTCTGACTTAAAACTATAAAATTCTTAGAGAAAAAACGTTTTGTCCGATTTAACCAGGCTCGTTACATTTTCCGGAGGAACTATTTTTATGTAATTTAACATATCATTTATAATACATTTAAGACCAGTCTTATTAAGTTTGCCAGTATATGGTGAAAACATGTCAAAATTCAAATTACAGTTAGAGTCTACAAAACAAGCATTATTATGATTACTTACATCAAACCATAGCAACACATTGAAAGTCTCAACCCTACCGTTAAACAACATAGATCCACAGATATAAGTTGGTGAACATAGTATGACATTTGTATTTTTTATCTTAGGTAGCTTATTTCGAATATATGAAACCAGGTTCAAGTAATCGTTTGACTTTTCAAAATCGGTTTCACCAATTAATATTACCACATTATCTGCAGTCGTAAAGTTACATGTTTTTTGTTCTATATTTTCTAACAATTGGTATATACCACCACTGGGGCTTGAGTGATGAAAGAAGTTGAAACGGGTAGGGATGTCAGTACTTTCTATTAAGTTTAAAATACCTCTTTTCCTACTATTGCTTAATAAAAGTAACTTGTTTTTTCTGTAAATAGTATTTGTATGTGATTCTGGGGCTATCTTCTTAGGTTGATTTTCGTTATTTGGCATTAATTTATTAGTTGAATTTACACTTCTTTCGGCTTCCTTAGGGGGTAACATGGAACCCGGGCAAATATCATAAGCATCCAGACAACTTTCCTTTTTATTTTTCTTAGTGGAAGGTAAACAGGCAAACATTTTTTAGCAAATTAATTTCCTTATTCAATCTAATAATCTGTCTTTTTAGCTCATTATTTTCTATTATGGTATTTTCGAGTTCATTTTCTGTACTTAGTAAGTTAGCACTAATTTCGGTGAGTATCTCTTCTAGTTCTTTTGTATAATTTAAGTCGCCAGCTTGAGTTGTAAAGTCCTCACTTCTAGATAATATTTATTCCGATGATCTATAAAATATCTCCTCTTCGTTTGAAGAAAATGTATCGCCTTCGATGGATTCACTGCAAGGGGATAGAAGTTTAATGGATGTTGTTGGGGTATTAATAGTTTTTTCTGGAGGAAAAACTATTCTTCTCTTGTTTGCAACATATCTTGTCTCAGGTATATTGGATAACTTAGGTGGACTTTTAGTAGATTTTGAGAGCAATGTACACGGGTCACACATTATTGTTTTCCTTTTATCTGGTTTCATCAACATGTACAGCTTTTGTGATAAACCCAAGCAATCAAAGTCAAAATGTTTATGGCAGCTCGAACACAAAACAGCATCTCTTTTTGCTCTTGTTGATTTACATTTAAAACAAGTCACCGATGATATTTGAATAACTTTCGAGGTTTTTTTTAATTTATTTTCCATTATGAGATGAGAAAAAAAAAATATTTGTGGAAAAAATTAAATAAAAATATAAGCTGCCTTCGTGGTCTCAAACTTGGTACCTAGAAGACTTAACGGTGTATGATTTAACGTCGACGCCAACTGAAGCGCTACGCAGATGACAAATTTTAGATACCAATATTTGAGTATAAGTGGTGGCTGACTTGATTGGGTATCAGTGTTTTATTGTTAACCAATCACATCACAGAATAAACGTAGCTTTAAGCACTGACTCAAATTGAATAAAAAACGAATTTGCAAGATCACTATCGCACAATAACACAGATTTACGTTATAATAGCTTATTATTGATCACTATCTTGATGTGTTTAATACTTTTGTCAATAGTAGTCACTGTTTTATACACTGTTAGTATAATTTTTATCCTATTTCTTCTTCAAAGTTATCACACATTAAACTGCACTTTTTCTTGACAATTGATACACAGAAAACGTTGCGTACAATTATTGAGCAGAGTTGTGATAAGAATTGAACCACTTTTGCAAAACTTTTAATAAAAACGGGGTTTTTTAATTTTTATGAATTAATTTCGACGGAGGTCAATGTTTACAAGGCTATATTCAAGCCAATAGTTTAGGTTTTAGAGGGAGAGGTGACGCCCCACTATGACAAAAAATTTCATTTTAAAGTGCAATAATTCGCAAACGGATCCCTATATCGAAAAATAGTCTTAGGAACCCCTTAGTAATTTTAAAGGATATTCAACGATATCCCGCACGATGTGGTAAATGATAAATAAAAATCATCCCCAGGTTACAGGTAAGGAAGTTACCCTAAAAAATATGTTTTTCAAAATTTCATACGTGCATGTATTGTAATAGTCTAAATTGAATAAAGATAAAAAATAAACCTTGATTTACTACGCATGAAATTAGTTTAGTAGCATTAAATCTAATAATAATTGTCTATATTAAAATGAAACGGTTCAACACTTAACCGTTCACTTGGTTTGCGTGAGGTTCCGAATGGTGTTACTTGTTCAGCCACGGGCCCCTTGGTCAATTGCTCGCGTCCGATTACATACTTCAGCACACACTGGGCGGATGCAATAAAAATCTGTTTTAGTCTGTCTGTAAGGGCTAAAACCTTTTCAATTGGCTTTAAGTTATATTTTTTGTTCAGTTTAGTAATGTAGCTTTACGGTAATATGAATAAAAGAGTGAAATACGAAATAGTTTTATTTTATATTTACACTTCTAAACATCACCAAATGATAATTTTGTATTCGTATTTTGTGATGATAAAAATGTATAAACTACCAGACAGGTATCGGTTTCGGTTCGTTCTTGTTGTACACTTTACAAATATGATACAGTAATGATATTTACTCACATTTTTCTCTAAAACACTTAAGAAATACAAATCCAATCACAATTGTTACACTGACACCGGACTGAAATTCTCGAACTGAAGTTTAGATCTTTCGTACAAAGTAAAGTTAGTATGAGCAGTTGTGGGCTCTAGAGGCAGGAATATATAACATTTATCACAAAATGTAAAAGAAACGAGTGGTTATGGGTTCGAGCCTGAGTTAAATCGTAACAACCATATTTTTGGCGGGTCAACTGTTAGACACTATAATGTCCACGATGCAAACAACGGGTTTTTGTCTTGGACACTATAGTGTCCAGAAAACAAGTGAGCGGTTAATACACCTTAATTCACTCTCCGTATAGAGCGTCCAGCCCAGAATGCCCCCACTCACCATCTTGAATCCCCACTACTCAAATAATGCAAGACAAACGACTTACTTTTAATTAACAAATCGCAATAATTATTCTTTAAATTGGCAAACCTTACTTTTCAGCAAAGCTCTTTTTCAGTAAGCATTTCTATCATGGTTTGCATTTGAAAATAGATAAAGCGTTTAGATTTATATATAATAAATTAAATAATATACAGAATTACAGGAATACTCGATATAGATACTCGTACTTAAGGACATTATTGTTTAGGTAATTGCTGAAAGATAAGAATCTGAAAGTTAACCATAAAAAACTGCCTGTTTTTTTTCTTAAATGTTTAATAAATAAAATTATTATTTATTGACTTTTGAACGAAGAGTCTTGCTACGTATTACTAGCTATGATACCGACCAAATGAAAGAGCACTTTCCTCCTCCTCAAATAAGTTTCGTAGATGTTTTTATTTTGATGTGGTTTTCATAATTAATTTCGTGTGAAGGATAGTCATCTAATCCTGGCTCTTGTAGTAATACCAGATCAAACACAACTGTGTTTGTACTTTGTTAATCAAAGTTAAAATTTTGCAGATAGCTCCGCGAGACTCGCATCTTTTGACAAGGTTCTTTATGAAGGAAGAATACAGAATGGTATTGTTCAACATGAGACCATAAAGATTACTGGATATGAATTAGACGAAGTTGAATTAATTGGGTGTAAGTAAACACTATTACAGTATTTTTCACGGAAAAGCAACCACTCCATAACAAATAATTCTACTGTTGTATGCATTCACTGTTATTTTAAATGGGCATACAAAACAACACCACTGAACATAATATATACAAACAATCTTTCCTAGTTCCTCTATATATCCCTTTCTATTTAATAAAAATGAAGGTACCTAATGTAGCTATACCTCATTAACGACGCTAAGTTCGAATTTGAATTTTGTCGTTATGAATTAGCGAGCTGTGTGTCTATAGACGCTAGACAATAGCTTGATTGGCGATTTAGGTAGATACTACTAAGGCTTGATACAACTTACTCTTTTTTCAGCATTTCATGCGTTATTCAATGCGAGACATTCCCAAGGAATAGTTGCAGTAGAATCGACTGGTTCTTTGACGTTGCCTGATGATCTTGGTCACGTTGCCCTGGAACTTCGTGCTGATGATGCTGCTGCGGTCCTAATTCTCGATATCACTGGTACAGGTGAGTAACACTTTAAACAATTTGAGTTTTTGGGGAGTGAGTGAGAGTGTTATGGCTCTGTATGGTTCGTTGACGCACCCATGTACGAATTTGATTGAAGGGTAATGGTAGAAGTGACTCACTGCCTTCCACTCTTTGTGATGATCCCCTTGTTGCTAGTGCGTCGTCTGCGTCATTTACAGAATTGCTCTATGTCCCTTGATCCATTAGAGGGTAACCTTGTTATCGTTGTTAGGCAATCCAATGCTAGGTGACATTCGAATACTAGCCCAGAAGTTTTGCTGTTACTATCTAGGGTTCGTAGAACAGCCATACTATCAGATAATATACGTATCTTGTAGTTTGTTACATTCCTGTTAATAACAGCGGTGGCGGCCTGAGTAATAGCTATGCGTTAGTATTGGAATATTGAACTGTGATTACCCAGTGCTGTTGATTTAAACATGGATTTTGAGCTCTAGTGACATGACCATCTCGGTTTTGGTCGGATTCGCCGATAGTTGGTGTTTAGTGCACCAGTTTTCTACTATCTTGAGAGCGTTACTCATTAATTTGCATAGCATATTCTGGAATGGCCCGCTTATGAGGATCACAAGGTCATTCGCATAGCCAACTGTGTGGTCGTTACGTTGATTGAGTTGGCAAATTAGTTCGTCATCCACAATGTTCCACAGGAGACGAGATAAAACTTCCTGTGGGCAACCTCGTGCCACTACGGCTCTCTTCGTAGTGTTCACATTCAGTTGTATTGCTCTGTATTTTGGCATGCTGTTGATCCATCCGCAGTCGCGGAGTCAACACCCTGTCTCACAAGTGCTTGGCTGATGCTGTAAAGCTAGTTTTATCAAAGGCGCCTTCAATGTCAATGAAGACTCCCAGCGTTGATTGTTTTGGTGATAACGTGGATTACGTTATATTTGCCTGACTACGTTGTGTAATGTGGATTCGGTGAATTTGCCCATGCTGTAGGCGTGTTGATTTGCATGAAGTGGTAATCGTTTAGCGCATCATCTCTCAAGTTCCTGTCACACATTCTCTCCAGCACCTTTAGGAGGAACAAAGTGAGATTTATCGGTCTAAATGCTTCAGGTAGCGTGTAGCCACTTTTGCTTGGTTTGGGTATGAATATAACTTTTACTTCTCTCCACTTGGTGGGTCTGTACCGATAGGCAAGACATCCTGTATAGATTAGCAGTAGATGCTCGAATATCGATTCTTTGCACCATTGCAGTAGGCCCAGAATGATGCCATCCAATCCAGCTGCTTTAAAAGGGAGGAAACTTTTGATGTCCCATGTAAATATGTTGGTTTTGATGATTTTGCGTAAAATTATCCAGTCAGCTGATCCCGGAACCGCAGATATCTCATGTTCCCATTCTTGATTGTCTTTAGTGTCAGCTCACAGGTTTCAGCGGCGTCGTTTTTATGAAGGTATTATTAGCCTTCTTAGGGAAACTTAAATTGCATTCGGGATCGCTACTCAGAATTTTTGGATATCGTCGTCTTGGATATCGCTACAGAAATGCTTCCAGCATTCAGCCATTCTGAATCGGATGCACTTTTTGTAGCGCGACTGTGCCTCCTTGTAGCGGATCCAGTCGTGTTCTAATCTAGTGGTTTTAGCTCTATTGAACATCTTTCTAACCCTACGCCGCAACTTATCCAGTTCAGGACCCCACCAATTGTGTTTGCTTTTGGCTGTTGTGCGTGTTTGTTCATAACAGACGGTTAAAGTTGATGTTAGTTTATTCACGTGTGTCTATTTCCATAGGATTTTTATAATTCTCTGTCAAGTGGAGACACTTCAAACTGGCCGTGGCTAGTGAATAGAATATTTTGCGGTCAGTCTTACGTGGAATGCGTCGAAGGTCTGGTGGTTTATTGTTTATATGAAGATAAAACCTAATCGATTTGTGATCCGAGCAAGATGCTTCGTCGGATACGTACCAATCGGTGATGAATTTGGCAATTTTCTCATTGGTTAGGGTTAGGTCGGTTATTGTCTGGGCTCTTGGTGTTACAAAGATAGGTTCAGAGCCTCTGAACTTTAAACTTTTTAAGTTTGTTGAGAAAAGGTAGCTAGAAATCTCCTTACCTCTGGTATTGGTGTCGTGGCTGCCCTAAAATGTGTGATGTGCATTGGAGTCAGCGGCGATGATAAGCTTCAGTCCCTTTTGCTTGCAGTGTATCACCAGCCTTTCGAACCTTCTTCCAGCAAGGGGATTTCAGCGTCGCTCGGACAGTAGGCAGACGCTACAATCACCTTGGGGAGGTTAGGTGAGATGAGATCACTGAGGAGCCTGATTGAAGTAAGGTCACTGGAATAGAACTCGGGGATTAAAACGGTTTTAACATACTTGGGAACGAAGATTCATGTTCGTGGTTTACTTACGGTAGTATCTAGGAGTAGTTTGCCTCCAAAGTTGGATAGACCATAAGTCTTCTCACCCCTGATCCACAGCTCCTGGATGAGGACTATGGTCTTGGTGTTTGTCTCCAACACACGCCGAAGGTTTGCCGTGGCTGTCTGGCTGTGTTGGAGATTGGATTGCAGGATGTTAAAGATGGGGCTGGGTTGTTAATAATCATCTTAACTGATCGAACTACCCCCTCTCACTTCCTCTTCCTTCGCCTTTTCACCCTCTAGCCATCAGTCC